CCACACACACCTCATCTCATACTTTACAGACATGTCCTGCTGGCTTCCAGACCAGTGTTCAGGGCCTTGGACACGTGCAGACTAGTGCTGGGATGTCACTAGCAATACCAGTAGAAGTTAAGCCCTGCCTGAGTGTCACTTATAACCGGAGTTATCAGATAAATGAACATTATCCTTGCATTATTCCATGCTTTGAAAGGTGAGGCTAAAACCCAACTACATCTATTTTACGACTTGAAACTCTGGGGCAAAACTGTTTTAAAACTTCTCTTCAAAAGAAAACGGTGGAGTGACAGCAGACCTTCAGATAGCGCTCCAGTAGGATGGACTGTCGGTGCAGCATGAACACCTGGGAAGATTAAGCTCTGGAAACACTTTAATAGTGTGACATCAAATCTTGTTAAATCCTGTATGACAAATATGTTTAAGCCCTGGCTGATGGTCCAGAGATTTCACACATATTCAATACAACAGAAAGTTTGGACCAACCCCAGTTTGCCATATTGAGATTTGACCTGTCTGTGGTGGGCCCTGAGCCTAATGTTGTTTCTGTGTCAGAGAATAATGCTTATCTGTGGACTTGCCAAACAGTCTTTAATGAAGGAAAGTTACAGCATTAATTTTTTAAGAAATCCTTTTTCCCTACAGTTTTGAGTTCTATTTTTGATCTACAGATGAATTTTTGGCCAAGTTTAAAATTGTAGTTGTCTTATACCTACCACTCTGTGCAGTTATGGGGGGAGGGGAGAATATTTTTAGATGACTATATCAAGTTACCACAATTAGTATAGGTGTTTGGATTTATGTATTAAAGTTAAGGGTGAAGTAGATCTCTTACCTTAAAATCATGGTCATAATTTTTGTTGGTGGAAGTTTTTTCCTTATCAGTCTCAGATATTTAGATTAAAACACATTTAACTCAGGGACTTTATATTACTTAGAAACAACTATTATGCGGCATGCTTTGGGAATGTTAACATATTAACTACCTTTAGTACACTAAATACTCATGGTAAGATGTGTTTCCAAATGAGAACATACAATGCATCTTAGAATACGTGAAGTGGTGGTTCCTATGATTTATAATACATTTATGAGCTGTGCATTTCTTAGTGCAATTAGTGAGCTATACTCAGATTTGGTAATCTTATTAAAAATGCTTTTTCAAGAGAAGGCATAACTGTAAGTTCTCACTACTAGAGTAACTTCTGTAGGTTTATTTGAAGCGTGGCCAGGGTAGTACTCAGGTTGTGCTCGAGCAGCACTTTGTTTTGTTGTGTGGAAAACAGGTTTCATGAGCAACCTTTGACTCCAGCTTGTCAATCTTAAGCAGGCAAAGGTAC